ACAGTTTGTTTCACAAAGAGGTCAAATACAGCTCATTTGCTGCTTCCCTCTTTGAAGCAAACCACAAAATACTGCATTTTGCAATTGAAAAACTAACTCACCCCTTGCTCCATAAGCATTAGGAAGAGCCTACGGTTCATACTGAATCAAAAAGCCCACCTAACACCCAACGTGCCCTACACATTCCTGCCATGGCTTTGCCAAATCCCACCAGTGCTCCCAGTCAGGGTTGCAGCTCCTCTGAAAGCTGCTCTGAGTACAGCCCTGACAGCTCTGACCTCCTGCAGCTGCTTCTTGGCTGGCAGTTTTGCTTGAAGGTACCTGAATCATAGAATGGCCTGGGTTGAAAAGGACCACAGCGCTCATCTCGTTTCAACCCCCTGCCACAGGCAGGGTCGCCAACCACCAGACCAGGCTGCCCACAGCCACATCCAGCCTGGCCTTGAATTCCTTCAGGGATGGGGCATCAATTTGCCTTCCACCCAATCTGCAAAAATGACACTACATGATTTAGCCTGTGGCAAGAGGATCTGGACATTTTACACAGGCTGAAGAAAGAAAGATTTGAGAGGATGAGGGCAGCCTGCTGTTTATAGCACAGACTGCTGCTTGTAAATCCTCCTGATTTCTCACCAGCATCTCCCAAACCCTTCTCCACCATACTCATGCTTGAGGACAGCAAACATCCTCTATGATCAGTGTCATGGCAGCACACTGATGCATTCCCACTGCACAGCCACTTCTTTGGAAGCACGCTTTGTATTTGCAAAGCTGCCTTGCTTTCACAAGGTTTCCCTCCCTGCCACACAGGGCAAGCCATTCACAGCTATCACACCCACAACAGGAACTCATCCATGCTGCCTACACGTGAGCAATGCAGCTATTACAACAAACAGGCTACAACTATTCTGTTTGTTTCGCTCTTAAATCACAGTAGGCTCCAACTGCACTGTGTTTTACTGCTGGTACATTTGTTTTTCATAAAAGCTTTGGTAATTCAGTGCATGAGTTATCGATCTGCCCTCCAAAAACACGGAGGCACATGAGATGAGAACCATCAGAAATGGATTATGAGCTGCCTCGAGGACAGGAAAAATTTCAATCTGGGCAGAGGTACCAAATGAGGTGAAGCTGCATCAATAGCTCAACACAAAACCAGGCATGGCTACAGTGATTCTCCAGGCCCAGTCCTCTGGACTCGCCTTACTCACATTTCTGTTTAACAACCCCAGGGGGCTGGGGACTTCCTTTTCACAAGACCCCTTCTCCAGCCCTGTTTTGATAAAGCCTGATCTGCAGTATCATCTTGTCCCTCCTAAAGAGGAACAAAACAAAACAAGAGGCACAGTGAGACCTGGAGGACACCCAGCCTCTAGATCCAGGCCCTCTGCCTGCCCTACACCCACAGCACTTGGGAGGAATCATCTGGGCTGGTTTGCACACATTCCAGCAAAAAGCAGAGGCCCAGGGAACAGAGCCAGCAGAGATGCAGCTCCAAACCCTGCAGCCACACAACGGGCAGCAGAGGCACAGAGACAGAGATGGGCAGTGTTCTTTGTAAAGGAGGAAGAATAACTGGGGAGGGACCAGAAGGGAAAAAGAAAAGTGGTAGAAAAAAAAAAATACAGCCCAAGAAATGACCCTCATGAACTACAAGCAGCTAAGGCACATCCTGTCCAGAGCCACAGACGTCCAGCTGGAGTGAGCACTGAGAACATGAGCACCCACCCCTAAGGCTGAGCTTTCAGAAGGAAAGGCTGACCTGCAGCCACAAACATTCCAGGACCCAGGACACAGCTACTGGGGTATTCCACAGCCTCCAATTCAAAGCTGCTCCCACACATGAGACAGCAAAGCTGCAGTCCTCCAGCTAAGCCCTGGTGCATAAAAGTGCTGTACAGCCACAGAAAGCCCTCATGGATGGTGGGCTGAGAGCAACGTGGTCTCAAATAGCAAGCAATGGGGACAGAACTCAGTTTTCATCTGAATGTTAATCATTGCCCAACAGCCATGAGAATCCTTAAAAAACACAAAAAGTGGAAAAGAGCAGAGCCAGCAAGGAGAAATAAATTCCAACAAAGCTTTGGAGACGTTTCCATCTCCTGCCTGCCACCTGGTGGGGAAGATGAGGGGAAAAAAATCCGTAAAGTTTTCTACCACAGCGACGCTTGCAAGAAGTCACTCCATCATTACAAACCCCTGTGCCGGTTGCAGCAGCAAGTGGCTCCAGGAGACCAAGGGGCCACAGAGCAGTGAGATTTTCAGACTGGGCTGAACTCACCTGTCTTGTACAGTCACACTGTCAGACATGTTCCCTAAGATCTGCAGGCCACCCAGAACCAACTCTCAAAAAAGCAATTAACTTCCCCAAACTCCTACATCTTTGCCCAAAATGAAGTGCACATAACAAAGAAACTGTTCCAGCTGTGCTTCTCACCCCACCTTCACCACAGACCCAGGATAAGGCACAGCACAGAAGGAAGAGCTAATGGTAAGAACATGCTCCGAGCAGTGCTCAGTGCACAAAAGAAGACGGGAGTAAGTCAAGAAAGAAGTGACCTTATGTTTGAGAGAAAAGCAAATTATTTAAAGGAACAGACTATATTCCAAACAAAATGATGGCACTGAAGTAAACACAAACCACAGGGTTTGAACTGCTAATGCGAATACACAGGTATCCTACAAAGTTTTCTTTAAATATACGGGCCTTCTCTAGACCAAATCCAATGGCAAAGCTGCTTCACCACTTCTAGCAGGAACACAGCTCAGCACTCGGCTGAGGGGTTTGTTGTCAGTTAGCTCAGGGCTGGGGATGCACAGAGAGGTGGTGGTGCCCCATCCCTGGAGAGGGACTGGAGGGGCTCTGAGCACCTGATGGAGCTGTGGGTTGGACCAAATGACCTGCACACCACTGAAAAGAACCTGGCATCATTCGTTAGACACCTGCCCTGTGATACAAACATTGCTGAGATTCTCTAAGCAGACCCAGGGCTCTCAGCCTTTCCTCACGCAGGAGATGCTCCAGGCCCCGATCTCTCTGTAGCCCTCCTGGGCTCTCCCCAGCAGTTCCCTGCCTGCCTTGAACTGGGCAGCCCAGCACTGGGCCCAGTGCTCCGGATGTGGCCTCCCCAGGGCAGAGCAGAGGGGAGGAGAACCTCCCTCGTTCTGCAGGCCACGCTCTGTGCAATGCACCCCGGGTGCCATTGGCTCAAGAACGCCCTGCTGGCTCATGGTCAGCCTGTGGCCACCAGGACACCCAAGTCCTTCTCAGCAGAGCTCCTCTCCAGCCACATCAGTGCAGGTCAGGGGCTGCACAAGCAGTTATTCCTCCACATCTGCTGAACTTCACGCTCACCCTAATTGAACCTCATCAAATTCCTCTGCGCCCAAACATCACCAGTCTCACAAAGCCCCTCAGGAAAGCTGCCCGCACCCCTGCCGCGCAGCGCTGGATTACCGTGCTGCAGCCGCAGCCGCGCCAGCTCCGTCCCGAGCCGCTCGTTCTCCCGCTCGCACTCCGCGATGGCCGCATCCCGCTCCCGGCTCAGCCCGCGGACATGACCCACGTAACGCTCCACCTGGGGAAGCAGCTCCGTGAGCCCCTTCCAGCCCCGGCCGTCCCGCGATTCCAGCCTCTCTCCCTTCCCCGACGTCTCTCTCGGGGCAGAGCCCAGCCATTTCATCCCTTACTTCTCTCAACTCCTCGGCCCGCCGCCGCTCCGCGTCCCCCAGCCGCGCCTCGGCGCGCCGCAGCAGCCGCCAGGCCAGACCCAGCTGCTCCTCCGCCGGGTCGCCAGGATCCGCGCCCTCCGCCCGCAGCCAGCGCCGGACGTCGTCCGCCGGTACCGGCGGCTCCGCCTGCAGGGAAGCGATACCCGACGTGAGCGACGCGCTGCCGGCACCCGCCCGCGGAGCCCGGGAACTCACCAGCGCGGCGGCCGCCGCCTCCATGCGACGCGAGCACGGGCCGCGGGGCGGCGGGGCGCCATGGCAACGGGCTGCCCCGAGCGCGGCGCCGATTGGCTGCGGAAGCAACACTCACCCATTGGGGCGGGTCTTCCGGAAGTCGGCCAATCGGCGCCTCGCTCGCGGCTGCCCGTTGCCATGGCGCCGCGATGCCCCGCCCCCGCTCAACCCGGGCCGAGGGGTCACAGCCCCGCCCGCTCCCTCCCCCAAGCTGCCCGCGGTCCGGCGGGTTCCCCGCCACGCAACTCCCCGACGAAGCTGCAGGAACGTTCCCAGCCCGGGGATCGCGCTCTTCTCTAGCAGGGCTGCGCCTGCAGCGTCCCTTTCAGCCCCCTCACACAGCGCTCCGGGTGCATCTCCCCCAACTTGGGTCAAACTGCGCTGCACGGACCCCCCACCACACACCATCCCACCGCAGACCGACCGCCGCCGCACAACGGCTGCTGGAAGGACACCAGACAACAACCTACTTTGCTCACCGCAGCTATTCTCTATTTCCTCACATCCCACAGCTTCTCAACCACAGCAGGTTGTGGATGCCCCATTCCTGCAGGCATTCAAGGCCAGGCTCGATGTGGCTCTGGGCAGCCTGGTCTGCTGGTTGGTGACCTGCACACAGCAGGGGGTTGGAACCAGATAAGCATTGTGTCCTTTTCAACCCAGGCCATTCTATGATTCTGTGATTCTTGAAGCCTCACACGGGTGCCTCCTACACCACGTACCAGTTCACAGACAGCAGGCAGTCAAGGGGAATACACTCAAAGAAAATAAATCACAGCAGCAGAAGGTGTTGCAGTGTTGCTCTGACTGCATTTATGTGCAGAGTTCTCTCAGTGTAGATGCACAGGATCCATCCCGGAGCAACAGATGCCCTCCAATGTTGTCACCACCCCGTTCTCATTCCATGTGCCCAAGCAGTGTCCCCATCCCTCTCAATGCCAGCTGACTGGCAGTGCTGCGCTTTCACTCCAGCCCATGGCCGAGCACCACAAAGCTCTGTTCCTTCCATCCAGAAAGAAACTTGAAGAAGCAGATTCGAGAAAACATTTTATATGTACCATTTCTCCCTCTCCCAGGGCATGGGACAGAAATACAACATAACCTTTCCTTCTTTACAGACTAGAACAAATACCATCCTTTGGAATGCTTTCACTTCAGTGCACTTTACTGTTCTGTTTTTTTTTTAAAGCAAGCTATAGCAACTATTACCAAGCAGTAGAAAAGTGCAGAGTTTTGGACGGCAGCCTCCTCCGTAGGATTGCTCTGATTATTATTCTATTCACGTGGGACAAAGAGTTGCTCCAATTCTGCTCTCTCTAGTACAACTTCGTCTGCTTCATCCACAGCTGCTCATCAGATTTTCTTTTCCATAAATAAGGTATGTTGGCCCTGAAGATAACTCACTATTTTTTCTTCTATTTCCATGCCTTGCGCTATTTCCTCCTCAGAAAGAGATAATGGAGTCTGTGAGTCTTTGGTTACAATAATAACAGAGGTTCTTCGTGACTCCAGGATATTTGCTACCACCACCTGGTGACGGTATTTCTCCAGAGCCTGGCGTGATTTATCTATCAAGATCAAGGGATCTGTTTCCAATTTAAAGGAAATAACAAAAGCCTCCGGAGCCCATTCTTTGACGAGAGGAGACAGCATTTTTGGCACCATCTTCATCGTAATCTACAGTGGGAAAAGACAATAGGAAAAAAAAAAGTCACTGAAACAAGGGGAGTACGGAAATTCCACCTTCACTTCATGTGGGTTTTACACTGGAAGGATTTTCAAGACACTGTTTTGTCAGATTTCATTAACAGCATGTACTGCAAAACTGAATTCAAATACCTATCTACTGCTAACAGTAACCGGGATGTTCTTAAACTATGAAGCAGGCCTGCAGTAACTGCATGAGCTTGTTTTTATGTAAGTAAACTGCAAAATGCAGTGTTTTCAGCCTTCGAAAATCCAAGCACGTTATCAAATCATAACCCTTCTATCATCTCTTTAAAGCACGTGAAAGATGCATATGCCAAAGCATGGGGAAAAGGAGTAACTGCCTTTTTACTCTCCAACTTCTTTGCATCTGGGTGTGCCGCTGGGAATCAGGTAGGGTCTTATTTTTCTTGTGCTAAGGAATTAATCGTGAAAATGTATGTTTCTGATTAATGAACCGCTGCTCTGCGACCTTTCCCAGATCTCACTGCCAGTCCCCTGCTGCTACATCCATGACAGGACAGTGGGGCAAGGGCAGGAGCCTTGCCCAGGTGCACCTCACCTGCAGGGCTCCCTCTGAGGACTGGATCTTGTGCTCAGACATCTCTGAGGCAGGGATGTAGAAATCAGACACTGCAGCTGCCAGGTAAAACATGACACCAGAGCCTGCGAGAGACACAACCATCACTGCTGGCAGCCTGCACAGAGCAGCCAGGCCCTTCTGCACCGCCGTTCTGCGGCAGGCTGCGCTGCCAACACATGGTGATGTGATGCCAGAGCTGCAGCCCCTCACACACGCTTCCGAGAGGGGCTCAGAACAGCGCAGAGATGATCAGTGAGGTGAGCCCAGCCCCTCAGCGCAGGGGTCTCCTTTCCCCATAGCGCAGGGGTCCCACACAGCAGATCCCTTCCGTCCCCTCGATCCCTCCACTTCCCTTCCAGCTCCGCTCTTACCGAATGGCGCCAGGGCGCGGGCGGTGGCGCGGAGCAGCGCCAGGTACTCGTTCAGACTGGTGAACTCGAGCGACAGCAGCGCATCCGCGTCGGCTGCCTGCCGGTAGGCGCGGAGGGCGGGCAGCAGGGCGGGCAGGGCGGCGGAGTCGGCGGCCACGCCGGGGGGCGGCCCCGGGGTGAGGCAGAGGGCGTCGAGCAGCGCGGGGCCGGGCGGCGGCAGCACGCGGGCCCAGGGGAAGGCGGAGCGCGCGCGGTGCAGGAAGCAAACGCCGTACCCGGCGCTCACCAAGCGCTCCGCCGACACCGCGCCGCGTCGCCCGCTGCTGAAGTTCTCCAGGAAGCGCACTGCCCGCGTCTCCAACGGCACCTGCGTGCCGCCCGACGTCACCAGCGCCACTCGCCGCCCGCTCGCCACCTGAGCCGCCGCCCAGACCCGCACGCGCTCCTCCGCCGCCGCCGCGGCTTCCTCCTTCGCCGCCGCCATGCCCGCCCAACCTCCCTCTACTTCCGCCGGAAGTGCTTCCGCCGCCATGACGGTGCTGCCCTCTTCTACTTCCGCCGGAAGCACTGCTCACGCCGGAAGCGCCGCCCCGTCGCCACGGCAACGCGGCTACCGCGCTGAGGGACGCTGGAGCGGTCTGGCCGCTGCGAGTTGTGCGGGGCGGCGGCGCGGCTGCGGTGTTCCTGCTGCCGCCTCACGTATTACTGGTGAGGGCCTCCGGCTGTCCGCGCCCCCCGGAGCTCTCGGTGCGGCCACAGTTAAGGACAGATGTCACCGGTGTCACGAGTCGGGCTCGGGGTTGGGTTGGCTTCGGTGAACTTTTCGCCCTGGTGCTGAAAGCGAGGCGTTCGCAGGAGCCGAGTGGCGTGGGAGGCTCTGTTAGTGGAGACCTTAACGCACGGCATAGCGGCACCGCCTGCGGGCCACGCGAGTGTGCTGACATCCCGCCAGCTGTGTGTGTCCCTCTGACGCCAGGATGAGCATCAGCCTCACCGCTCCCACGGATGCCTCACAGGAGGCTGCAGTGAGCTGGGGTCAGGCTCCTCCAAACAATGGCAGGACAGGGAAGCGGCCTGGAGTTGCTCTGAGGGGGTTTTAGGTCAGACATCAGAAAAAATTCTGTCACCAAGAAGGTTGTGGAGCTTTAGGAGAGGCTGCCCAAGGAAGTGGTGGAGTCACCATCCCTGGAAGTGCTCAGAAGATGTGGAGATGTGACACTTAGGGCCGTGGTTGATGGGTTAATGTTTGGAGTGATGGCCTTGGAGGTCTTTTCCAACCAGAATGATTCAGCAGTTCTAAGAAGTTACGGAGCGGCGGCTGTTGTGAGTAAATCTTGTGGTGAAAGTCCAGAAGAAACAACAAGCAATAATCTTTCTTCACCTTGTTTCAAAGTAAACAAAAATATAATTCTTTCTTATTTTGTTAGTGATGTAGGTCATCAGAAAGCCGACTGGGTTAGTATCCATGAGAAAATATGCCAGCTGCTGATTCCAGTCCGCACATCCCTCCCTTCTCTCACTTCTGAAGAAGAAAGAAAACACGGAGTGGAACAGCTGGTGAAGAGGCAGGTATGTACAAGAAGGAGGAATACCACTTCAAAGTGCTGCCAGTGAAATTTGGTTAGATCTCTTTCTGTATTTTGATGTGCGTTGTGTTGGGAGGGCATGTAGTTTGTTAATCAGTACTTTGTTTACAAAAAAAAAAAAAAGTATTAAAGACTCTGCAACTAAAACTTCCCAATAAAAGGAGCAGGAATGTTCTCTCTCCAACTCTAAAAGCCTCTTGCCTTCTGGCAGCCCTTCCTCCAAAACTTGAGCCTCCTTATCTTTGCTGGCCTGACAGCAGCAGTCCTGCATCTCCTACCTTGCAATGGCAATCAGCAGTAAGTCCATTGGGATCCAGCTGAGTTCTGGTTCTTACGACTGTCCTCATCCATCACTGATGAGAGGGATTCCCCTTCCTCAAAGCAGAGAGCAAAGAAATAAAACCCTTCCCCTTGTTTACCTCCACAACTTTAAATGCTCTTTCCCACTAAGTGTGGTTTTTTTATCTCTGCTTTTTGGCCTCCTCGGAGGTGCAGATGTGCAGCTCCTTTCCAGTCAGAGAAGAACTGTTGTGGGTTGGTTTTTTTTGTGTTTGTTTATGGGATGCAGAATCTGCCTTTCCACAGCGTTGATAAAAGAAAATAACCCGCCCAAATACCTCTGTTACTTGGAACGATCTTTCCCATAAAAATAAATCATCCTCCTATCGTTGCAAAACTCCTAATCGCAGAATAGCAGGACAACAGAACAACTGAAAGTGAAATGGTAACAAACAAACGGTGCCACTGGGAGGATCATTAATCTTCAGTGCTTTACATCTTGTATTGTTTTTAAGATTGTTTCTGGGTCAGGTGTTAGCACTTTGGCTCATTGCTGAAGTCATTACCTTTCTTGTGAGCAGAAGGAAAAAGCTTAAAAGAGAAGGAACCTGCATGGACAGAAGTTGTGCGTGGTGAAAGCTTGTGAGAGGCTTTAGGCAACAGATTCCTTTCAGATTTGTGGCAATTAGGCACCGACACCCAAGTTTGTTTTGAAAATGTCACCTGATGGAAAATCACAAACAAGATTGTTGATCAAAGAGCAGAAAAAATGTGACAGTATATTGTCAAAGCCAAGAGGGTGGTAGAGGTGAGGTGAAGGCTGTGGCTCATTATCTAAACATGTACAAGGAGTCTGGGAGTGGGAAAGACATCCTAAATATAGGAAAAACGGGCTTTGCTCATGTTACTGCAAGCCCTTAAGTTGCCCAATTGTATGTCAGGAGTATTTCCACACACAGTGTCAAAAATAATGCAGAGTGGTGGCAGCTCTCATGCTTGCTTACAGCTTAAAGCTTTTCCAAAACACTTTACCTACAAATCAAACGTTGTCAAAAGCATCTGTTTCTACATTATTGATTTGGTAGCAACTAAAACTATGCTGTATGCATTACAGCACAGCACACGACTGCAGAATCAACGCAGTGCTTCAGCTGGACGCTGATCATTTGTTTTTATAGCGTTCTACGGAGTGCACCAGGAACATAAAACTGGTAGAGAAGTAGGCAAAGGAGCAGCCACTGCTCTTGATTGCAGTGCACACCTAGGTTAACACACAGTGACTGCAGAACTGCAGCTTGAGCCCAGGCTTGGATTGACCTCATAGGAAAGGCTACAGAGAGCAGATTCCCACTGTTTTTCTAAAGGAAGACTTTTACAGGATTTTTAACAACTCCTTGCATTTGTTCTTTGACCTCAGTATATACTGCAAACTGCTGAAACGAAGCAGATGCTCAGAGTGTTATATGGAAGGGCACGTTGTCTTTCTTCTCCCTTAAGAAAAGGGTGAAAAAGCAGAAATGTTTTGTTTGTTACTTGCTTTCTTACACAGCAGGACTGCAGCTCCTAGTCCACCAGTGAAGTCTGCTTTTGTGTGCAGTGAGGTGCAGGGAAACTGACCTAGACTGACTGACGAGCATCGGCAAGGCAGTGTGGAGAGGGTGGGATTATTCAGAGCCCCATCTTTGTTTTCCCATTCAGAGGGCAAACAAAAATGCTTGAAAGGTCTTTGATGCTCAGGGAAAAGTGACGCAGTCTCTTCACAGAGAAAAGCCCTTGCACGTGGGTTTATTATTTTCTGAACTTTTCTATTGCATTTCATGAATTCTTGTGCTGTGCTTGTTTGGAAAACATGGAACTGAAGCCTCTGTCAGGACACAGGAAAGCTTGTGCACACTGGAATGCCCTTTGGCCTAAGGGAAGGTGCATTAAGCTGGGAGCCAGGAGGTTATGAGTTTCATACCTCAGATGTGCTCCAAAACTTTGTTGATAGAAATCTGCTTTTGTCAACATAGCCGTGGGGGTGCCTGCAGACAATACCTGCAAACTGAAAAAACTCCAAGTTTCTGTTTGTGGAATAGCCTCACTGCCTGCACCAAGCGTGATGTCAGCTAACCACAGCCTCTGGGGATGGGAAAAAATCTGCACCTTGGCCAGCTACAGCCATCCTCCAGCATCAGTGCCAGCCCTGCTGATGCAGGCTTTAACTCCAAGGGCCCACTTTCAAACTGATTGAAGGCCCTTCTTCCTCTTTAAAGTGTATTTTTACCTAAACGTGCCGTCGTGGCGGGTGCCTGCGAGTGTGGGAACGGATGTGACACAGAGCTCGGGTGTTTGCCCAACCCCTGCTCCCTCCTGCAGCCGAGCTGTGCTCCTCTGCCTCCTCAAACCCCAACCAGGGAAAAACTCATGGGAGCATCTTCAGAGAAATTTCTGTAATTGCTGCACACGTGAAAAGAGCGCTACGAGCAAAATGGTGCAGGGCCAAAGCTAATGATGCCTCCAAGGCTTGCAACTGCACTGTCTCAAATATTCCGTGCTGCAGGGCTTCTGTTGTCTCCAGCCCTTTCTCCTGCTGTATGTGCTGATAGCACAGGTGCAGGAGAGGGGGATGATGGTTGTGCTTCCGTGCTCCTGGATGTCCTTGCTGCTGCAGCTCACTCTGGGATGCATTTGGTGAAGCTCTCATTTATCTAGAAAGCATTTCCCTTTATCTCAGCCAGGATCTCCGGTATGCACTCGTGCACTGTCCTTGTGGTTCCTTGCCCCTGAGCTGTTCCTTCACTTTTATTTGCCTTTCTGAGCACTTCGAGATCAGTAAAATGCTAAAACCATAACCTGGCCTCTAACAGCACTGAAATTTGCTTTTTCTGCCCTCTGCTCTGCTGCAACTGGGAAACATCGGGCAACAAAGCACAGCCTGCAAAGAGGTACAACATTATTCTCTGCAGGCACTCGCTGCACAGGCCTGTTTGTGCCTTCTAGCCAAAGAAGAGTGCTTTGCTACCTACCATGCAGCCCTGCTAGGCATACCAGCAATGAGATTTGTTTGCAGGCAGCCTTCCCTCTGCTCTGCATTGTGCGAAAAGCCAACAGAGAAGTGCTGGGAGTTGGCAACTATCTCGATGAAAGCTAATAGAAATAAGTAAGCATCCTGGCTCTTTTTCATTGGCATCCCTATCCAGTGGCATGTTGTAAGGGCATACCATCTGCAGTTGCTGTAGAGTCCTTGGCAATGAGCAGGCATTCAAGTATAGAAACATTTGGAGCTGATGATCAGGTACTGCAAAGGGTGACAAGACCAAATGCAGTGTGGGCTGCTAGGAGCAGCACAGGACAGGAAGTGGTTGTACCTGTGGCAAACGCTATGGTTTCTGACACACAGAAATCCTACAAAGCTGCTTGATGAGCAGACTAAACTTGGGTTATGGAGATGGTAGAATCAGGGAATGGTTTGGGTTCCAAGGGACCTTACAGCCCATCCCCTTCTGACCTTCTCTCACAGATCTCCACAGCTACTGGATCGCTTTGCCCAGGGCCCCATCCAAGATGCAGGAATATAATGCAGTGCATTGGAGTTTTCTGATTTTGACCAATTTTTCCAGATTCTGCATCCAAACCGTCGGCCCTTCAAAGCCCAGAATTGGCCAGCAGAGGGTGAGAGGAAGCTGCCAAGCCCCGGGGATCATGCGGGTACGCTGCTGTCCCACCCCGAAGCTGCCCTTCTCCGGGGCTGAGGGGCAGTGTGCTGCAGCACAAGCTCTCCCCTTACTTCCAGACAGTGTCTCCTGCAGCTGGAGATGTGCCATGCTGGCAACAGCCTGGCAAACCATACGCTCTGCTGCCTGCTATGAGTCACCGTTATCGTCAGCAAAATCCTGCTGTAACCCCTTTGTCTGATCTTTTCTATGGTCTTGTGATGATCGTTTTCTGTGCTTCACGGCCTTTATTGCTACAACCTTGTTAGTCCTTTTTCATGGGCCTGAAGGATTCTTTGTCTCACAAGACACCACATGACCTACGAGGATGCCCAGAGCTGTTCTTACCGGAAGTAGGAATGAAATCCAGGCACTAATATGACAGCTTTAATTTCCATCTAATAATTACAGGCACAAATAAAATTATAAAGTGATTATTAACAGCGCAGACTGGAATGTGGAAAGAGACCATGCATATTCTTTCTCCTTATCCTTTGCTCACCTTGCCCCACTATTGTTTTTCCTGGCAGAAATACATCATCGATCTTACATCCAGCACAGCCCAGAAGTTTATTTTTGATGGAAAGCATGAAAAAGCATTACCTGCAGCTCTGCATGCACTGCGTTTCAGCAGCAAAGTGTATGGCCCAAGTTCTGTGCAACTGGTACCTGCCTATCTCCTCTTGGCTGACGCCTGCATTGGTAAGCACAGGTCTGAACAGTAACTTTGGCAAGGGCAAAAGCTCCCCTGGGTCAGGTTTCTGGTTTCCTCTCAGCATTCCAGGGAAAGGCCAGCTCTGCAGTCATGGTGCCATGTCTGTTCTATGTCCAGCCTGAAGGGCATCCAGGGAGATTCAAGGTGCCAACTCCTGTGTTGGCCAGGGAAAAAGATTTCTCATCAATGGTGAGAGATCAGTGAAAAATGGAGCATTTTCTCCATCTCTAACTGATTCTCACAAGAGAAGGGGTATGAAGTTCATCTCTTCACCTCTGTGGCTTCGTATGGCTCACAAAAGCATTGAATTCCCAGCCAGCACACCTTTGAGGCCACCCCACAGAGGAGCTCCTCTGTTCCTTCACAGAAATGAGTTCTGCCTGGAGCAGAGCTTCTTCTCATTGACTGTGTGGCTCAGCTGCACACATAAATGACTGAGAAATGATTGTAAACCATTGTTGTTACAGGAGTAGACACAATGCTCTGCTGGCACAACTGAGCAATGTGAAAGATTGTTGTAAAATGGGGAGGCAGGAGAAGGAGAAATATCCTATCAGTATTTTGAGTGTGATAATACAGCAGTTGTTAGCTTCTGCCTGGTTGTTACCTGGTTTGAACACGTGTTCCAGAGGCATTGAATGCAATGCAGTTTCTGGTTTCTCTTGTAGCTGTTTGTGAGTTACATTCTGAGCACTTGCTTAACTCAGAACTGGGGAATCCACAAACTGTCTTTGTGTCAAACTGCTGCAAAGGGATAGCAGGCAACATCCTCTACATTTCTAAGCAGAAAGTGCTCTGTATCCTGCTTATTTCTTATGTCATTTCAGGTGTTGGCAACTTTCAGCAGGCATCTAACTATCTCTCCCAAGCTCAGTGGATTGTCCTCAGAACTCCAGATTGCAGCGGTGCCTTCCAGCATAGATTGCATCGCAGTCTGGGGCTTCTCTGTGCTGCTGATGGAAACTTCGATAAGGCTTTGTATCACCTGGCCAATGATGTAAGCCAATAACAATGCAGCAGCCTTTCGGTTTTCCTTCCCTCTGTAGCTGTTCTGAGCAATATGAACCCAGCAGACAGGTTGTGGCACCGAGCTGAGGAGCCAGGACAGTACATCAAGAACACCTGAACTGCATGAGCCTTACACACCTGTATATCCATGTGTTAGCCAAAGCTGTGTTTTTCCAGTTCTGGTTATCCTCAAGTGATACATAACTCATCTGTCCTACATTTGCTTAGCATTTTTTCTGCCAGCTTTGTTAAGATCCTGATATCAACAGACATTCCTACCGCAAACTGCTGTGGCAGCCTTTTGTTTACAGATAAGCGACTGTATATTTTGGCTGTCATTTTCCTTAATACTTTTCTGTTCAGTGGCAATTTTCCATCATCCATTCTTTAATGAATGCCTCACTTAGCTATGTAAATATCTGGTTCAGTACCTTTTTCCCCAGTTCAATCCTTTTAGCCACGACAGTGGTTGGAGAAATGTGAAGTGGTCATTGCCAGCAGTGTTCCTGGGGATGCTTCGCCTGTTATTTAACAGCCCAAAGGCAGATGAACTCTGTGACTTCCTATTTATGTCCCACGTCGCCTAAATTTACCCAGTGCAGAGTGATGTATGCCCACTACTGTTGAATTTGATAGTCACTTTTTACAACAGCTTTCTGTGGGCGTAAGCGATGACATATGGTGGAGGAGGATTAGAGGCTTTCTATCGTAACACACACAACTCTGGCTTCATTTAGTTTGTAAACCTGCTGTAAACCTACTGGGAGAGATTCCCTGCTATGCCACTTTTGTGGTTTTTTTAGGTTGCTTTGGTCTGGTGCCTGAAAAGGAGCAGCAGTGTAGGTTTTTTACTACTGGCGAGTCTTTGGGCTGCATCAGAGCAGCGCAGGACCTGCTTGGATTTTGGCTGAGTGTCTGAGATCTGCTGAGAGTCACATGCCAGCTCAGAATAGCTGGAATGTGCCACTGCCTTCCCACTACCTTCCCCTCGCTTTGGCTGGGGCTTTGGGGAGGAAACAGCCTCCATGGGCACGTCTGACTTCTGAAAAGCAGCAGCAAGTTGTTCATTTGAAGACAGGAGACCTGCAGGATGCACACTGAGAGGAGGAGGTGTGAGGAACCTGTCTGTGCTCCAACAGGGCAGCACACCATGAGAAGGAATCTTCTGCACCAGCTAGCAGGGCATTTGGGCGTGTTGCATTCCTGTGCATAACACATAAAATCCTGCTGTGCAGGTACCCCATTTCACAGCTGCAATCAAGTGGAACTAATGCTGTAGTTACCCAGAAAAAGACAGAATTATGCAATATTATTAATCCATAATTATGAAAAATTTCTCAGTTTTCGTATGAATGTTAAACTCCTGCTTTTTCTTTTCTTTTAATATTGTTTTCAGATTTACCTCGCCAGTTCTACATTTGGACTAAAATCTGTTGAGGCCTCTGGGGGGTATTTCCACATGGCTAATGTTTTTTCTCGCCAGAACAAAATGGACATAGCAAGCTCATTGTATGCTGAGGTTGGTAAATCCAAAGCTCATCCGGTCTCCATCTCTCAGTTAACTTTTCTTTTTTTTTTCCCCTGTGTGCTTTTCAATGTTTCCCTGTTTCTGACTGCCTTTAATATGATGGCAACCATATCAGTGTTTCAGAATCAACATGTTCATATCCAAACATTTCCCCAAGTTAGAACCAGAACAAATACATTCTGGAAAAGGTATTGAAGTTGTAGTTTTCATAGGTAAACCTCATTAAAAAATAGCTTTACTACCCGAAGCCCCACACCAAAGACTAAAGACATTCCCACAGGCAGAGCAGGAGGCCAGGGAGTTTCCATAACCAAGGAAGAGTGGCCGAGCAGCGGTGGGAGGCAAACAAGCCATGTAAAATTTGAGCAGAATATCAGTGAAAAGTGACACTGCTAAAAGCTTGTCAAACAAAGGAAGTGACAGTTGTCTAATGACCGTAACAGCTGGGGAAAAAATGAACTTCCAGTTGTTTAGGCTGACTATTCAACGAGGCTTTGCCTCCGCTCCACTCACAAGCATCCACCAAATTTGCTTTGAGTTAGCAATTGAGTTATTTTGTTCAAGTTTGATGAAAATTAATATTCAGGTAGAGAAATGAGCTTCCGACTCAGGCTCCCAGAGGGAGAAGAGCCATCAGATCTGCATGTGAAACATCCAGCTTGGCAGCTCCTGCCCGCTGAGCAGCGGGCGCTGGGGGTGTTGCGGAAGGGACGTGCGCTGCAGAATGCATTGTTTATAGGACAGCCAGTTGCTGAATACCACGTGTTTACATGGGTGAAATAATTCATTCACTTCCTGGTAGGTCACTGACATCTGGCACACCTTTCTTGTGAAGTCAGTCCAAACACAGGAGCAAATTCACAAGTCGAGAGCAGAAAAGTCTCCATTCACCGAGGACAAGGAAGTGGAAGTCGGTGAAGACACCATGAGTAAGCAGCACTGTTGTGCAGGAGTGTTTGGGAGGCAGGAATTTAAAAATTCCATTCATCTTAGTGGTCATATTTACTGTGTTGGATTTTGCACCGTCTTTCTGTAGACCGACTTTAATCAGAGTCGTGGGCGTTTCTGATAGCTGTGCCCAGCAGGCAGTGCTGGATGAAACAAGTGGGGCCACTTCAGAAATGAGAGTGTTCAAGTGGAAACACAGCCTTGCCCTTTTCACAGTATCCTTGACTTCAGCAATACAAGATGGTGCCTTTCAGGATTCAGTTCCACTTCAGCATTCTCGTTTCTCAGCGGCTCCTTTCCTTTCATTTAATTAGGTGAAATTTCATCTCACTTAGGTAATTCCAGCTCTATCATCTGAAGCAGTGGGACGCAGTGAAACAGCATGTGTCGATAATTGGATGTATTAATCTGGAGAATACACTGGGGGAAGGTGCATGAAGCATGGGGAAATATGCTACTGTGCATGGTATGACTTCAGCACTTCGTGAAGTCAGTCTAGATTCCATTCTTTGTCTTCCTTCTACCATCTACACTCATAAGAATATTGCCAGAGAAGAAGAAATGCTTCTGCAAATCCCTTTACCTGGCATTCTCTTAAATAATAGGAAGCAAACAAGGCAGGTCTACATGAATCCATCTTTAGATGTGACAGGAGTATGAAAGTTGCTCTTTTCATGCAGCTGTTATGACTTCACATCCTTACTAAAGGATAATCAACACAATTACAGACTGGATGAAAAGATACCTGTTAATGGGTATGGAATTTGCATGGAGCTGGAATGCCACACTGATGCTTGTTGTAGAAGTGCTTTGATGTCTAGAAGAGATAATTGGGCAGTTTTGATTATATTATCTTGTATACATACATTCAACAAGATTATTTCATTCTTGATGCAGCTGAAGCCCAGCAAGCAGAAGCAATTCAGGTCCTGAATGCAGTACTAGATATCAGAGAAAAGGCACCAAAGCAACAACCTGGGGAAACTGCCAGAGTCTTGCATGCTCTTGCAATGCTTTATTACCTAATCATGGATTTATCAAAGGTAAGTTTCACCTGTTGAAAGGGTGCAGGAAGGTGTTGGCCCCATTCCACAAAGGCATGAACACAAGCCAGCTGCCTGTGTTCACTGGCTCCTCTCTAAGAGCACGACTGCCTTGGAGCACTGGATAACTCAAGGCAAAGCTGCTTCGGTAGCTGTGCACAAAGCCAGCTCATGCTCTGCATGCTGTCAGGGCTAAAAAACCCCACTGGGTCTGTTTTGAGCTCTGCCTCATCATCCACAGCAGATCCTGCAGTCACTCACGTTTTCTAGGATTGTCCTCCATCCTGGCAGTGTAGGTGCCTCTCACAAGCCACATTTAGACATCAGGTTGGATGTTATGCAGCGAGAAAGACGTAGGCCTTGCATGTATCCCTCCAAGAGCAAGACTCCCTGTAATTACCACCCTGTAATTCAGTTTTGACTTTGCGCTGCTGTATTTCAGAGTTTATGGCTAAAAATTTCAACTGCAAACTTCAGCGTGCAATTTTCTGCACTTAAGGCAATTAATTTTGAGAAAGTGCTGAGCTTTAACCGTCTGGAAATCAGGCCTCTTTGTTTGGGCTGAGCAGTCAGAATCTCAGGTTTCTTCTGCCTGTGATTTGAAGGATGGAAATACAGATTGTGAACGGTCTCTGTTGTGTTAGAGAAAGCTGTCATTCAAATAAGTGTTTGGAATACACAAAGGAAGAAATTCAAAATAGAAAAGAAAAAAAAAAAAGCAAAGCTTTGTAAATGTGAGAATGTCACTGGAAGGGCTACCAAGGAAAATGAGGGATTTAGTTCAAACGGAGTTGGTGCAGCTGGTTTTTCCTGAAATAGCTTTCAGAGTGTTCAGATGAACTGGTGTGTCAGATGGCAGGTAATGCTCTCCAGCAGGAGGAGCTGGGGTTGGTAATCTCTTCTGTCTGCACCACTGGATCCTAGATATGATATCTGTGGGCAGCTTTACTCTCTCTTCTAAAGCAGCTTGTCCAGGTCACCCTCTGAAACAGGTGGCTGAGCAATCGGAGCCTGGATCACATCCAGCGCAGCCATTTCAATGAGTCTCTGCACGTATTTTAAGTACCCTTTGAGAAAAGCCAAATTCTTCACAATTACATTGTCTTTTCTGTTTCACTCCAGGCTTGTGAAATAGGGATGAAAGCGTTTGACCTGCTGAAACAACTACCCCAGCAAGAGCCTCTAGAAGCCATCGGCTATTTGTTAAAGCTGATTGACTCCCAGGCTTCCTGCACAAAATAAGGAGCTCTTTCTATCAGAGCCAGGTGATGGCTAGGTTATTTAACTAGGTGGCTGAAAACATTGAAAGTGCACTGCAAGCTGTAAGTCCTTTTTGCTGTTGTCACTTCCCTAGAAGTGTCCCTTTCCATCTGGAAGTGCCTGAAAGCTGAGTTTGTGCTGTGTTGTTACGTGCTTGTCAACCTCTGCAGGCTGTTATGGAGTCACAACGTGAGGATGGAAAAAAAGGCACTACCAGTGCATAAATTGTTGCCTACTTGCTAATGTAGATGAGGGTAACAGCCTCTTATCTCCTCACATTGTCTGACGAAGTTAAGACCAGCTGAAATGAGTTTGTTACTGTTTTCCTCAATTTTCTTTTCACTTTGATGAGTAAGATAGGGTGGAAGGCTATGGGAGAGGCCTGGGGAATGTGTCCAGTACATTCCTAACTTGGATGGTTGACACCTGCTCCCCAGAACCTGGTTGGGCTTGTTCAGGTGCTGCACCTCTCTGTACTGCCCCTCCATTTCCAAATCCACACTCACCTTTTTGCAGACCTCCATCAAGCTGACTGCCAACCTGCAGCCCTCACAGCTTCAAACGCCCCTGGGAGCAGAGAAGGAGGAAAGGCAGGGCACAGGGTATGCATGGCCCTGGGAGTGAAGACCAAGGAGGGCTAGAGGAGTCCCTGAGAACGAGATGGGTGCAGGGCTGCAGGCAGCTGTGCAGTGAACTTGGTTCCGACTCTGGAGCATGTGACAGACTTGCACTGCTGGGAAAGAGGTTAAGGGAAACTTGCCCTGCTGCTAAGGTCTGGATTCAGCTGAGCTTTAAGCCTACGATTAAGTCTCATTTACTTCAGGAGGATTTATGAATGCATTTAATTGCCGTGCTGAATTGGGTTGGAGTCAAGTACGCTTTTAAATGCTTCGCCGAGCTGGGACCTGAGCAATTAGAAGGGATTGATGCTGCTGCTAAAGGGAAAGTTGCTCACTCCAATCCAACTGATTTTTAATTGCACAGGGTGGAATAGCTGGGATTGGTGCACACAAGGCCCCGGTGGCAGACCAGGGCAGCTCCCTGGGACTGTAGGAACACACACAGGGAACAGGGGTTGCTGGCAGCTGGGATGCTCAGTGCCTGCTGGCACAGTGCCTCAGGGCGTGGAGGATTTGGGTCACTGTGGCTGAGGATTTGGAGCTGTGGCAGTAATCCCCCAAGACATGCCATGGCCAGGCTAGCTCTGTGTGACACGTCGGGGACGGCGTCCCTTCCACAGCGTTGCCACATGGCACAGCGTCACTGCTGGCTGCTTAAAGCAGTATGGAAATTAATTTTTCACAGGTCTGCAGGCTGGGCATCTCTGGTAGCAGGGCCCGCACAGCAATGAGAAGGGAATGGAAGCACCAGTAAAGGTGATCAGAGCAACCCAACGTCCCACCACACAGAACATTTTAGGGAAAGTTGGAAGATTTTTACAGGAGCTTTTCCCTATGACCCTGTGGAACAGCCATCTCCACTGCATACACTTCAGGGCAGAGCTATTTCGACAAGTAGCAGAAAGCCAAAGCGAACAAGCTCAGCACTTCTTTGCCCAGCAGTGTTCAGACTTGCAGCCCTTGGCACCGGGTTAGCTAAAGGAGAAATTCCCCCAGGAAGCAGCCAGGAGATGGCAATGCCAGCCAGGAGCACAGCGTGGGCATTTTGTAACAAGGAGCCTTGCATCCCCGTGAGGAAAAGCTTTGGCAAGGAGCAGCACATGCTAGGGAGTCTACTGCTACTCCCAGAACAGGGATGGGACACAAACACCCCGTGAACAGCACCTGAGCTGCACGCAGGGACGGCCTTGCTGAAGCTCTGACCCGCTGCACTCCCTCCACCAGCGCTCCTCCCAAAAATGAAGGCACACAGCACAGCAGGTTGGGTCGCTGCATACATTCCTGTTTATTGTTAGCACACCACACGCCTTTCTCCATTCTCTTGGCACTTGTGTTTATGCACATTAGGGAAAAAAAAAAAAGTGTGTGCAGTTTCTGGGCTGCTGCACAGATATGTGATGAGTTGTCATGGTTTTTTTTTTCCTACCTTTATTTTCAATGTACTCACTTCCAAAACAGACAAATAAATTAAAAAAAAAAAAAAAAAACAACACTATTAAATAACTGCACATGGCTTTGGAAATGTGCCATAGCTCCTACAACAGTTGCACTCAGGGGAGAAGGGCTGCTTTTTGTGTTGTTTTCTTAAGTTTTGTTTTAAAAGGACAGTATTTCTTGTTTTTAATATACTAAGGACTAAAATTCAGTGCAATAGATACAACTACAGTGCAGGTAATTAACTATACAAAAGTCATCCTAACCATGTACAAGCTTTCCTTAGAGTTGCTATAGAGACTAAACCTTTGCATCTGTACCTTTTTGTATACATTATACACTGTGAATATACTCCGAGAATATTTACAGTACAGTTCCTTGTCAATCAGAAGCACTATAACTTAACATCTACTATTAACACCATCGAACAAAAATATATATAATATAAATATCTTCCAGTCTATACACAGAGCAGGAAATGTATCCGTGTGGTGACTTTCGGTGGCTCTGGGATCCACGTGGTGACGATGGGCAAGGTGTGCTGCAGCGTGGGACGGCCGCCCGCTCCCGGCTCCGCGGGGCTCCGGGGGACAGCGTGGTGCCAGGGAAGGCTGAGGCCGCAGCTCTGCGCTGCTGCTGAACCCCTGCTCCTCTCCGCCAGCACTTCGTGCCACGGTTAACCAATAAGGCAAATATTGCCAAGAACACACCAAGAGATCCCCTCCCCTCCCATGTCAGCCTACCCGAGCGCACAGCCAGCACGAGAACAGATGAAATCCAGGCGAGGAAGCGCACGCAGCCCTCTGCTCAGAAAGGTGAGGAGCCGTTCCAGGAGCCTGCACCAGGGGAGACAGTGCTCTGCCCCCTGCTCCAGTACTACCGACCTCCCCAGCCTGCTCCAGGGGAAGCACTCGGCCCTGACAGAGGAGCAGGGCTGCACCCACACCTCTCATCCTCAGCGCTGCCCCAAGGTGCTCCCAGAGGGCAAGGAATTCCCATCCACAAACCAATGGGGGGGCTGAAATCTTAGACTGCTTTAAAAAATAACTTTAAAAAAAAAAAATCTTGGTTTAGACTTAGTCAAATTACACGATTTCGCTACGATTAGAATGTTAAAAAAAAGTTTCCAGCTTTAAAAACTTCCGCTATGTGATTTCTCGCATGAAATAACCTATCTCTTCCTTAAAAAGGGAGCCACCCTCCTGCTCACAGAGGCTGGAGGATGCTGCTTGGTTGGTTTTAAAACATTAGTCATTGTTGCTGAATCTATCGGCTTTGAAATCCTGGACTTGAAACCAGCTAAAATCGTTCCTAGCAAAAATACAGTCAGTCACTGATGAACCAGGCGGCCAGTGGGGGAGTCTGGAGAAGGAGCGTATGCAAAGAGCCAGACCCCCCGCTCCCTCCTTCCTCGTTTCTGTACAAGTATTAAAAACACTCAGGAGAGAAGTTAGGAGGTTCGGAGGAGACGGGACACGCCGCAGCTGGTTAGACCTGGGAGTCAGCACCCAAGCTGTGGAACTCATCCGGGGTCTTGTCACTCTGGCTCGCACCCCCCTGACGGAAGCCGGAGGCGATCTCATCAAAGGTCCGGCCCTTCGTCTCCGGCACCTTGAAGTAGGTGAAGATGAAGAAGAGGACTAGCAGCACCGTGAAGATGATGAAGACGTAGGAGCCACAGAGTTGCTGAAAAGGAGAGCACCAAGAAGCAGTGAGCGTGTGGACGGAGCCGGCAAAACCTGGGGCCCTGCTGTGGCTGCCAGAGTGCAGACATCCACCAGAGCCAGGCACAAAGCAATGCACCACCTCCTGAGCCCTCCCCACCGAGGGACTTGTCATCTAGTGACTGTCCTGCCCGTACCCACTGCTTCAAGAACAGTGCCGGCCTGCTCCAGGATGTGACTTCCCTATGCCTCATCCCTAGGAGCATTTCCCATACCAATCTGAAAGCAAACCCGAGTCACAATCCTAATACAGGTTTTAGGGCTCAGGAATCTTGTCTACGTTCATAATCCAACTGGTGTAATGTTGGGCTGCCTGCACACACCCCCAAACCCATGCCCCAGAGAACAAGAGATGATTACCGCAATGTACTGGAAGCCCATGCCCACAATGAAGTTGGAGGTCCAGTTAGACAGCCCAGCAACAGCAAAGGCAGCAGGACGAGGGCCTTGGCTGAACAGTTCTGCCACAATAAACCAAGGGATGGGGCCTGGACCAATCTCAAAGAAGGCCACGAACCCAAAGATGGCAACGATACTGAGGTAGGACATCCAGGGCATTTGGTCCTAGTTCAAAGGAGGGAGAAAACAGGTCAGTGAGTGCTGTTCATAGGGATTGACAAAGTGTGTGGCCAGCACAGGTGAGACTGCAGACAAGCATGGTGCTAGCAGAAGCTATAGGGTTTCTCTGGATTGGAAACGGTGTTTCCGGGACCCCAAGAGAGATCTGCAGAGAAGACCACACAGATCCCTGGGAAGAGGGGTTAGAGATAAGGAAGGATGTCCACCTCCCCACAAGCCACCACAATGAGCAGTGGTGTGCAGAGCATCCTCCCACCCACCCACCCCCAGCCCCCACCACTCACCAGCAGCGTCAGAGCAATGGTCATGAGCACTGCACACCCCGCCATCCCCGCCAGGCCGATGAGGTGAAGGGTCCTGCGTCCAGCTCGCTCCACCACGAAGAGCTGTCGGGTGGGAAGACATCTGTCAGCACCTCCAGCTGGGGAAAATCTCCTCCTCCCTTCTCCCTCCCTACCTGCACATACTTCCTCAGGTAGCACATCACACAATCATCACTCCCTGCCTCCACAAAGCCCACCAGCCCAACACAAAGCTCTCAGGTGAGGTGGAGGCCTCAACTCACCGAAACAACAGTGAAAGCTGTATTCACCACCCCAGAGCCAATGGTGGCATAGACAGGCTGCTCCACACCCGACTTCTCAAAGATGCTGGTGGAATAGTAGAAAACCTACAAACAGAAAGGATGTGCCATGAGGAAAGGAGTCACCTCAGCTCGGGGCTGGCACCAACCCACAAGCCGTGCACACTGCACCCAGCTCCTGTGGCTGGGTGAAACAAGCTGACCCACAGGGGGTCCCCAGCCCCACACTCACCGCATTGATCCCTGAGAGCTGCTGGGACAGCTGCAACACGATCGCGATGAGGATGGGCTGGCGGTACATGGGAGAGCGGAAGAGCTCCATGATCGTGACCTTCTTCTCTCTCATCATTTGCCGGCTCTCCTCCTTCATCTCCTGCAGGTCGCTGCTGACATCTGTTGTGCCTCGGAGCTTCTTGAGGACTGAGGGGAGACAGAAGGCCAGGTCAGGAGCAGCTGAGGGCCCCATGCATGGCAAGATAAGCTCAGGGATGAGAGTCACTCACCGCTCTTGGCTTTGTTCTCCTCGTTGCGGTTGATCAAGAGGAATCGAGGGCTCTCAGGGGCAAAGGGGAGGATGATGCACTGCAGCAGGGCAGGGACAAAGATGAATCCCAGGAGAAGCGGCCAGAGCGAGTCGTTTCCCATGATCAAGTCCAAGCCAAACACCTGAGAACAAGAAGTTTTGAGCCTCATCAGTGCTGTGGAGTCTCCCCTTCTCCTTTAATCCAGCTTACTGCAAACCCAATCCAGCTCCGCTCTGTGGGGCACACACAGACATTCAAGCCTCACAATGCGCCTTCCAGAGGCGCAGAGCACTATGCTTTGCCCAAGTGGACTCTAGATGTTACAACCTGATGCTGGGCATTCAAACCCTACATCTTATCTCATCCTTGTGCCTGTTGAGCCCTGCGCCATCTCTCCAGCCCTCGCTCTTCCCGAGGAGCTGTACAGAGGTACAGAGCAATGCTCCTGGGCCATCTGAGACCAGCACAGCATCAACAACACACTGACTGCCCAGAAACAGTGCTGCAGACAGATGGACACCCGGACAGCACTTACTTGTGCAATGAGAATGCCCAAGACAATGCCAAGCTGGTGGAAGGTCCCCAGCGCGCCCCGCAGCGCGGTCGGTGACACCTCGCCCACGTACATGGGCACAAAGCCAGTGGTGAGGCCAGAATACAGGCCGATGATGAAGCGGCCAAGAATGAGCATCTCAAAGGACAAAGCCATCTTGGAGAAGCCCATGAGGACAGCAGCCAGGAAGGCGAGGACGTTTGACATCAGCATGGAGTTACGTCTGTGGAAGCAAGGAGATGAGAACATCAGACTGAAGGGAGTATTGGGAGGGGTTGTTTAGCCACGTGAAACCAAACGCCAACACTATGCATGAGGGAGGTGTCCACAGTCATTCCCCATGCAGGAAAGCATCCAAGGCTGAAGCGTAAGCACCACGCAGGGCTCACCATCTGTCTCTGCAGCCTTCAAGGCGGTGCAGGCACATGGCCACACACCGCTGGGAAGCAGAGGCACTCACAGGGTTCGGTAGAATAAGGCTGATGCTGCCCCGTGACAGCCAGACAGTTAAACAGATGCTGCCCTAAGGAGCACAACAGTGCCGTTTTGATACATGCTTAGCTGAAACAGCAGACTCTGAAAAGGCCAACAGGGAAGCTATTAAGGGACAGACTACACGCTTTTGGCTCAGCTCCGCAGCAGGCCAAGCCCTGGGGAGGCCAGGAAAGAAGGCTTGCCAACTCCCAGCACAGGCAGTAACAGGCTCCAGAGGGTGGAAGAATGGTCTCATGAGCAAGGCGTGAGCCCCAGAGCCAGGCCCCGCCACCAGGGGAGGCGGCACATGCTTGGTGCTCACCTGCCAAAGCGGTTGACAAAGAGTCCCACGGAAAAGGATCCAATCATGCCTCCAACTGAGAAAATGGCAACAGAGAGGGACCACAGCGTGGTGAGGGTGGCAGGGCTGATGGGCTCCTCATATCTGTACAGCCAGGTGCGGTTGTAGAAGTCTTCAATCACCTGCAAGGGGGAAGAAGTGAAACCACAGGGTAAGGCTGTCTCACGCCAAGAGGTTCACGTACATCTGCCTATAGAGCTGTGCTGTGCAGGCTGGGCACGTCCACACTCACAGCCCGCCCCAACACACAGCATTTCCTTGATGAAGAGCAGCACACGGGCAGACCCACAGCTCCGACAACATCCCACTGCAACGGTGGATGCAGCACAGCCCCCAGCACATCTTACCCCAAGCACTGTCGGCTCAGGAAGGATGTGACAGCCCATCATAGGTACCCTGGGTGCAGGCACACTGCGGCCCGTCCCATCCCCCTGACACCACAGCGCAGGGTTCACCAGCTGCAGGATGCAAAGCTTTGCCCAGGCTCGCTTTGAAGTGGAGCAGACACCACAGGCTCCAGCCCTGGCTGCACAGCCCGGTGTCGGCCCAGGCACAGCTCCTACACCACAGCCACATGCGGCTGCTCAGATGGACTGCGTCGAGCCTCACATCCTCTGCCAGTGGCCAAAATCCCCATTCCCAGTTTCGGTGAGGAGTAAGACTCCTGGCCTCATCACAGCCGCGGCCATCCTAATTCCTCCCCGCAGGCAGCTGTGCCTCCACACCTGGGACAACAACCCTGCCATGATTTCGGTGCTGCAGCCCAAACGAGGAGGCTGGGATCGCCTGGCAGCAGGGCATCTTCGCTGCTGACAGCCAGGCTGGTGTGGGCACAGAGCCGAGCGCCCTTCAAAGCTTTCCCTAGCTATTACCCACACACCCTTCTGCTAAGGCTGGGCAAGTCCTCCTCCACTCCTGCTGCTCTAGATTTCATCTTCATCACCAGTGCCATGAATTCCTCGGCCTCAGCCCAGCCACCTACAGACTGCAGGCAGCTCCCCACCGCCCTGCAAGCCTCAGTCACAAGGCTTGGCCCATCTCTTCCCCATCACAAGACAATGTGTCACCGAGCAAGCCCTGGTTTGCCGGCACGTTCCCATTAAACCCAGCGCTCCTTTGCTTTCCACTAGATGGGAGCCACCCAGCTGCAGGCTGGCAGCAAGCTGATAGCACAGCTCAGATCTGGGAGGAAACCTGATGGGATGCGCAGCGAAAATGCAGCCAGACAGGTTTGGGCTCGTCCTGCCAAGGCTCAGCGCTGCCAAAACGCCTCCAAAGCCATTGCAGGAAGGTCGGGCTGCTCCTCGGGTCACCGCGGACAGGCAGGGATACAGCGAGAGAGAGGGGCTGAGCAGGGCTGCAAGAGCTGCATGGGTCCCTGTGTATTTCTAAAGAAACACAGCCGGCCAGAGAGCTTCAAGCAAGCCAGCAAGAGCCACAGGCAGCTCCCTCCCAGAACAACACACCTGTGCCCTGGAGAAATAAGGGCACAGGTACGCCGACACCGTCCCTACTAATAGAGGAGCTCCACTGGCTGCGTGGAGGAAGGGCTTCATGCAGCTCTTTCACAAAGCGATGGGTCCTGAGGCTTCTTCCTACCTAAGGTCACCAAAGCATTTGTAACCACAGTTGGAGCACACATCAAGCAAAAAGAAAAGCCCGCTGCCTTAACTGAGCCGCACACAGCAGCACAACTCGGAGCTGCCATCTTCCTGCCGTGCACACGGCAGAGAGCAGCTTTCATCCTTCAAGATCTTGATTTTTCTTCCCAGACGATAAAGGAGGGCCCGAAACCCCAAATCCTGATTATTAGACACCTGAAAATTGCGTTAGGGAGGAAGATGGTTGAAGGGAAGCTGTGTTTAAAGCTCAAGCTGGGCAGAGAAGCAATAAGCTTGTCTTCTCTACCAGGAATTTAGTGGCTGCAGTTATTTAACAATTTATGTAATGAACGCACCAGCGTGATGGGGGCTAAAAATAGGGCCTGCAATGGGACCTGGGATGCAGCTCCACACAAAGCTCGATCAGGTTGCAGTGGATCTTCTCCAGAACACCACAAGTGGAATTTTTATCACCAGCAGCCCTGATTCATTGCTTTACAGCCTCGCAGGGAAGACAAACGTGACTGGGAGAGGCCGCACCAAATTCCTGCCTGCCTTCCCCAGAAGCCTGCAGCTCACTTCCTAAGAAGTAGAGAGGAATTCAAGCGATGGCCGATGCCCCAGAGCTGGCCAAGCCCTGCTTCCTCTGGGCTGTGGTTTTGCTGCTCCTCCCTGCACTGTGGAGGCCTAAGGGGTCAAACAAACAGCACTCCAAATCCCTCCTCCCAGCCCCTTTCCCTGTGCAAAAGGAACCAGTGGGAACCCTGACATGAGCCGACTGCTGGGAGGGGATGAAAAACCCTTTTGAGCTTAACAGGAGAGGAAGAACAAGGGGGAGGTATTACAATGTGCAAAGGCTGTTTGTGCCTCTCTGCCTTCCTCCTTCCCCCTACTTTGTTTCAGCTGAGTGTTTTCACCAGCCCTCACCTGCTTTCACACCATGCTCTCTATACATCACCTCTACCACCACCCTGCAAGGAACAAGCAGCTGTTTCAGCAGCATGGACTATATTGGGAGGACCACAAAACCAGCATTCAGCCCTCTCAGCAAGAAAGGTCCCTTTCTTGGCTATTTTTTGGTGAGGCTGCTGGACACTGGGGACGGGTGCAAGCAAACCATGCTGTGCCTGCATTGCTGAAGTCAAGAGATTGGTGCACAATTTCTGCAGTAAGAAGGCATCCCGAAGTGCTTCCCCAGCTCTTCTGCATCCCAAAGCTTGCTGGAAGGCTCACCCCCAGAGCACAGCACAGCCCCGGGAAACCAAAACAGCACACGGACCTTTGTGTGCTGCAGGTCTGCATGAAGCAGAGCCCCCAGCACTGAGGGCACGGCTGGACATCATCCCCCAGGCTCTGCAAGATGGGGGGAACACATCCTGTGAGAAGGCCTTACCCATCCCTTGCCAAACATCTCTCTGCTTTCCCCCCCAAATCTGGTGCTGCCCCAAGGGAAGACCCCACAGGACAGTTGGGATGCACTTACACCCCCTCAGCAGGAGGTCAGCAGGGCAGGCTGCACAGCAGTCCCTGCAGCCATCAGGAAGACAGAGACGTAAGGAAGTGACTCGCATCCCCGTCCCAGGCACCGAGACAGGCAGGTAGGGCGCTGATGCAATGCAGTAATTACAGCACGTCTGCTCCCCGAGGTCCCTGAGCACTCAGCACTGCATCAAGAGCCGCCCTGCGCAGGGCTTTGGGGATAGGGAAATTAGAGCAGATGTCACACAGGGCTCCTCAGCTCACCACACTGCTCCTTCGGCTCCGGCATGAGGCACACAGCGCTCCCCAGCCCCTGCCCTGCAGAGCCCATCACACAGCATAAAGGCCATCAGCCAGCACAGGTGGGCTGCAGGCACCTGGACATGATGGCAAGGCCACTCACCTCCACTCAAAGGACTCCTCTTTCCACGCATGCAGAGTGTGGCAGGTTTTTTTGCATACAGTCTTTTCCCCTTCACACATTTTTCAGCGCTCAAGGTGACACGCTGCCGTTTGTGCTCTAATGCAATGTCAGAAGACCTTGCAGCCCATCCACCAATCCCACCAGTAATAGGATTAATCCTCTCATGGCACAAATTCTGCCTCAGAGTTTTAATTATTCGGGATTGTGCTTTGGAGGTTTGGATGTTTTAGCTCTCCCCACAGCCCAGGAACAGCCAGTTCCTTCAAGCAGAGCAGCAGCTGAAGCCCAGTTTGTCTTTCAACACCTTGCCCTGGCAACCGAGCTTTGCCCAGGGCATGTTACAAGCACAATAGAGAATTTCTGAGCTAACACTTCCAGGGCCATAGAACTTCAAAAGGCAGTTCAGGGGAGCCCAAGTTTCTCAGGGCCCCCAGGTCCCCACCAGATGCCTGACCACAGAGGGGTCCTGGCTCCTGCTAACTGTGGTACAGAAAGGAGCAAATTCCTACTGCTGTTCATCATCCTTTGTACACAGCCTGTGTTTTCCTGTCTGTCCCAAAACACACAGTCCCTTCCTGGGGACATTTGGCCTCTGGTGGCTGCATAAGGTCCCCGTCATATCTGCTTCCCCAAGCATCACGATGCTCTCACCCTTTAAGACCCCGATTAACTGGTAATGTAAGCTTCCCTTTGGGGATCCATGTAGGATCTCACTTTGCCCCACTGTGACCACCATCACCGCCCTACAGAGCCCAGCAGCTGGGCGACAGGCTCAGGTCCCGGCAGAGGATAGAGCACGGCACGGCACAGCCCAGCAGCCCAGGCCAGGTGAGTTATTGCTCCCACACCCAGAGCACGGCCAGCCCTGCCTTCCCCCTCCCTGGCCGCCACCGCCCAGCGCTTGCTGAGTCAAGGATGAGGCAGCTCTTGGGCATCCCCCCACCGCGGTGAAAGGGCGCAGGCAGAGGAAGCGCCAGGCGCCTGCCCTCCTGCAGCCCTGACCTGGGGCTGGTGGGGGGGGGGGGGGGGGGGGGGGGGTCGGGGGCGGGGGGGGGGGGGGGGGGGGGGGAGGGTGAAGGCTTGGCAGGCACAGGAGGCCTGGGGCACCTCACTTTCTTTTGGAAGAGGTTGGGCAGCTCCAGCAACCCCAACCCAGTGGTATCCCACAGCCTCTGCCGGAGCAGTAATTATCAGCCCCTCCCCACGCAGGCAGCCCACCAGGGCTGTTATCTCCATCTGTGGGGCCGTGTGGGTGAGCGCTCCCAGGCTGGCTTGTCGCAAACTCCTCCATCGTTCGCCCAGCAAAGCCACACCAGAGAAAGTGCCACAGTTCTCATGATGTGCCTCGTGCCTGGACTCTGACTCTCAGCCATCAGAGCTCCCCTGGCTGCCCAGCAGGGAGTCACTGCTCAACACGACCAAGATCCTAATTAGCTTCCAAAATCTTCACTAAGGCTGAGGTTAAAAGTTACACCAACCCACCCCGAGAGCCTCTCCAGCACAGGCATGCAATTCCCATAAACAGCCGGCAAAATACTGAGCAAAAAGGAAACTAATTCTCCTGGGAACAAGAGCTAAATAGCTCCTTAACAAATCCCATTAGGGCGGTAAGCTGCCTAGCAGGATGTACTATTTCGGCCAGGCTCAGGGCGGATGCGCCACGGCGGTGTGTTTGTTTTCGCAGCGGGCACCGCTCGGCTCTCACCTTCTGCGGGGCATTGATGACACCAGTATTGTAGCCAAACTGCAGCGAGCCCAGCACCGCTCCTCCCACAGCCAGCATCAGGCGAGCTGTCATCTGCAGAGAGAAGGAGCAGAGGGTTACGTGCGCCCCGAGCCCCCGAGGAGATGAAAGGGAGCCCCCCCCCCCAACCCCTTCTTCCCCTGACTTTCACGGTTTTCTGACACGCACGTGGGCTGAACAACAAACAGAACGACGCGACGCTGTTTTGGGATCCCAGGGATTTACTTAATCTTTGTTGCCTCCAGACAGGGGCTGGAAGCGTGGCCCCGTCGGGGTGACCGCACGCACCGCAGGCACAGATAACCGCAGGCCGAGCGCACCGCGACATCCCCGGCTCGGCGCTGCTTGGTTTGGCCCGGCCCTGCCTCTGTTCCTGGGGACATGGCAGCAGCCCATGGCTTCCACCTCTCTCCCAAGCACCTGGGCCATGCTACAAGGCTCTGCGCCCCTACTCTCTCCAATCTGGGGCACAAAGCGCTCCCCACGAACTGACCGAGGGCAGCAGAGCCACCCAAACCTGGAGCCAGCCCCACAGCTCCATCCCACCACTGCGTGAGGATGCCTCGCCACTAACAAAGCACTGTCAGAGCCCAGCTCATCATTTCCCAGCGATTATCCAACACCTCAGTGCCTCTGGCTGTTTGGCAAGCCCTCGCCCACCTCCCCTTTCTCCTGCTAAAGCAACGGCAACAATCGGAGGCTTGTCTTGGAGCAAGGTCAGGGCAGGCCAGCACTTGGACACCTCCATCAATGGCCCAATTATCCCAGGCAGGAGATTTCCCTGCTGCTCAGCCCAGCCTCGGTGCCCCGAGAAATGGGATTGAAGTTCCCAGGGTGGGTTAAGCAGCTTAGGGACATTCACGTGAACCTAAAGCCCCTTCTCCAGGGCTCGGGGGGCCTCACGGGAGCACGCAGCCCCAGGAACCACAGCAGCCTTCCTTCTCCTTCCCGCTGGCCACTACCCATCTCTGGGTCACCAGGAGCGCCGTGTGGGAGCCGCCTGCTTCCCACATGGGCACCTGCCCTGCTGCCCTGGCACAACGCCGGCAGCTCAGCTCATGCCATGCTCCGACTGACCACCTCCCTGCTTCCAACCCTGCAGCTCTCAGCTGCTCCCTGCCTGCTGGCTTCCCCTCTGCTATCACACAGAGGATCAGGGTGAGGGTTAGGGAAGCGCTCTGCCCCAGGTGGCAGTGGGCATGGCCCCATGCTGGGAGCACTCAGACACCGCTTGCAGCCACTGGGTTTGGGCATTGCTGTGTGCAGCCATCGGATTGGGCTCCGGGATTCCTGCGGGTCCCATCTAACTCACAACATGCTGTGGTTCTGTGATTACTGAGTGCACTTGAGACAAGTCCCCAAACCACAGGTGACCCAGCACAGCAGCCATCCAGCGCTGGGCATTCCCACAGATCCCCCACACCCTTCTGCTGCTCATGACTCCCTGGATCCCCAACCCAGCTCCTGTCACAATGCCAGGCGAGCAGAAGAGGTGCAGCCCTGCACACTTCCAGCACTGAGCAGCACCTGGTGTTGCAGGACCCACCCGAGCCTGGGAGCACACAGACACACTGAGGGGCGCACACTGCAATACGGAGCAATTGGCAGCAGCTCACTGGCACCCCTGCCAACCTGCCCTTCTCTGCCATAACAAGGAATTAGGAAGTTCAGTGGGAAGAGCAGCAACGGGACCCCAGGCTGCCTCAGGAAATAAAGCCAGCATGCCATTAATTAAGTTTATTAATTAGGATTGTCTGAACGCAACAATTGGCTTCCCAGGGAATCGGGAGGTTTGGGCAATCGGCTTTGTTCAACACGTCTGAGAAGAGCGAGCCCAGCTCCCAGCAGCCACGGCAAAAGGAGCCCAGCACCAGGCTGCAGAGCTGCAACACAGGGTGAGAAGCACTGCCAGCAAGTTAAAGAGCAGAACGTGGTGCCACCGCCTCTCCCAGCGCCAACCTCTGCGCAACCACAGCGCACGCAAGAAGCGCCCTGTGCTCTAATCAACACCTAAAAAAGCAAACAATGCTTTGTGCTTTGCTTCTTTCCCTTCCAAGGGTGGTGATTCCAGCCCCATTTGACACAGTAAAGTGCTCTCCCAGAGCAGGAGCGGGCCAGCGAGCGCCAGTCTGCACGTCTAGCACCGCGTGCCATCGGTCCCACGTATGTCACGACGAGCAGGAAGCGCCGGTGAGTCACACGTTGTGTTGGCAGGGAAGGCTTTGGGAAGGGAGCGAGAGGAGCTGAATGTGCTGCCTGCCGGCTGCCGCCATGAACTTTGCTCCAGGAAGATGCTGGCAGCCCCTAAAGGGTTTCTCTGGCAAGGGGTTGGGGCGAGCTGCAGAAAGCTGTGCTGCTCAGAGCACCACATTTGCATGGGGTGTAGGAGGAAGTGGGGCACACAGCCTCAGTGCATTCAAGGAGTGAAAGTCTCCGTTTTGCACCAGGCAGGGGGATGTCCACCAAAAAAAAAAAAAAATCCAAACCAACTGGAGTGACCCTAATTCACTGCCCTATGGGAATGAGCGAGACACTTCAGCTGAAATCATGGGATTTGTGCTCAGGAGGAGCCCAACTGTTGGACGCGGTCCCGGGCAGCCGTGAGTCAGTGGCCATGAGGGGTGCTGCACAGAGCCTGGCCATGAAAGGAGAGGCTCAACATGGGGGAAGAAAAAAAAAAAGCCAGTTTCTAGTGGCCGCCTGGCGTGGGAAACTCTCGTCAAGCTGCGCAGAAAGCGCTGCTTTGTTAACCCTCAAGGGGACCAAGCTCCTGTCCCGTGTCCACCATGGGCACAGAGAAGCTGGGGAACAACAGCTGGGTGTGAGCATGGAGCACTGGGAGCACCAACGGGATGAAGGAGTGAACAATCCTCCAAACAACTCAAAAACTAAGACGAAACCAAAATAAAGAAGTCCAAAGATGGGAACAGCACAAAGATCTCGACTGGAACTTTCCGTAAGGACAGGACTGTCACACACTCGGCCATCGGGAGTCCCACACACTGCAGTCCCACAAATCCCTCCCGGTGCAGTAAATCCCCCCCTGCCCCGGCAGCCACCAGCAAGGTCACGGAGTGAGGCTGTGGGGCGATGGGAGCGCAGCAGCGGGCAGCAGAAAATAACTCTGCCCGGCGACTTCGCAGCCCCCCCAGCACAGCACAGCACCGACCGCGCTCCGATCCCATTTGGGGTCGGCATGCAACGGCCGGGATGTGGCACCGGGCTCAGCCGCGGCAATGCGGGGACACAGCGCTTCCCACCGCCCCCCCCCCCCCCCCCGGCACCGCGGACGCGCTCGGGGGCTGCTGCTGCCGAAAGGCCTCCGCGACGGAAAGGAAAATGGGTCAGCGCCGTTGCTCTCTGTTATATTTTCTTTCAGTAAGGTCAGCCGGGGACATGGACGGGTATCTCAGCGTTTCCCAAGCGCGGGATCGCCGCTCGTTGGAGGAGCCCCGCGGAGTTCTCTTACGCAAAGCCCTGAGCGCCAAGAACGGCTCTCCCACCCCTCCAACCCCCAAACCAGCAGAGCCCCGGACCACCGCGCAACGGCGGATCAGAGCACGGCACAAACCGAACGCACAGAGCCCGTTCGGGACCGGAATTGGGTCGGGAAAGCAGAGCCGCCCCCCGCCGTCCCCCATCGCAGGGGCCGCTACCGCGGACCCCAGAAGGGCAGCAGCAGGGGATCCGCCGCTCGGTGACGCGGGGCAGCGCCAGCCGCCGCCGCCATCGGCTCTCTTCCTCTCCTAAAAAAGTTGCGTCAGTTTCACGTTCCCCTCGCATCGAGGATCCGCCGCAGCGGAGCGCTCCGCGTTTCCCCGCTCAGCCCAGAAGGGGAACCGCACAGCGACCTTTCCGCGCTGCTTTCCCCCGACAAACGCCGAAGTCTTTCCGTACCCAACTCTCCCCCCAGCGCTCCGTCCCTATTTTTTACTCTTCTTCAGCTCCATTCCGGCGGCGCTGCCCTCCCCACCCCCCCCATCCCGGCGGCGCGTTGGGGTTTTTCCATGCTCCCTCATCCCGCGCTCCCCCCGCACCACGTTGCATAACTCCCTTCCTTCCCCTGCCGCGCCGGGCTCCCCCCGCCGGCCCCGCACACCTTGCTGCCGCTCTCCATGTCGCTCCGGGGGCGTCGGATCGGCGCGGGGCAGCAGAGCGATGTCGCGCGGCCGCCGCGGGGGCATTGGAGAGGCTTAAGAGGCAGCGCGGGGGGCGAGCGCGGCACGGCGCGAGGCGGCGGCCATTGGTGGAGCGGGAGAGGGGGCGTGGCCGGAGGGGGGCGCGGCGTTCGGGAGGGGCGTGGCCTAGAGGGGGGCCCGGCGGGGGTGTGCGGGGGGCGGGAGCGCGTGGCGGCGGGGGAGGGGAGGCCGCGGGGGGAGCACGTGCGGGGTGCGCGCGTGGAAGTGGGGGGTGCGCGCAACGCGTGCGCGAGCGCAGATGGAACCGCGGGCACGAGCGCGTGCATCCGTCTGGCCGAGTGCACACGTGTGCGCTCCTGTCCCCCCCCCCCGTGTGTGCGCACACTCCGCGTGTCGGTGCGCCGCGGGACGGGGCCGGGAGGGGCGCGGGGCGATGTGCGGCCGCGCACGTCCGCCGGCTCCGCCCCTCCTCCATCCGCGGGGCCGCGCCGGTGCCGGGGGCTTTGTGTGGCCGGGGCTGAGCTGCCCCCTCCCCCCCCTTTCGCAGCCACGGTCGCAGAAAGGCCAAAAAGCGGAGTTTTCTCCCCAAACAGTGCTGGGGGCGGCGGGCCGCTCCCTGCTCGCCTTTTTGCTTTGGGAAAAGTGGAAATTGTGCAAAAAGTCGCGATCGATGCGGGGGGGGGTTGGAAGGGGGGGGGGAGGTTCGCTTCCCGGAATCCTCCTTTGCTCCAAATTTGGGCATTCGGGTGAACCCTTGCGTCTGCACAGCGCAGACCCCGCATTCCGGCAGCCCCGCGCTCTGCTCTCCCCCTCTTTGTGAATGGAGACCCCAAATCCCAGCGAAAGGCTTTGAGACGAAGGGACGTTTTGCTCCAAATGGAGAAGTCTGGGAGCGAGAGCTGATGGAACAGAAATGAAGGAAATGGGCCGCTGGGAACGCAGCCACGGTGCTCCTGGGGGGCTCAGGAGGGGTGAAGGGAGATTCCGCCTTTCCCTTCCCTTTGAGGCGGTGTAAATAAAGCCCCGAGGGGGTGGGGAAGGGGCTGTGGGATTTGCCGTGGGGTTTCCTTGGGGTGGAGGTCACGGAGAGGGGCTGCACATCCATCCGGGCCTTTGGGGCTGCCACAAAAGGGTGTTTGGGGTGTTCAGCTATGGGTGCGCGCTGTGCTCCAGCCCAGACCTGGGGCCTCCACCCCAACCCTGCCCGGCACAGGGACAGCTCCACACACTGTGATACTGGCACAGGCTCACCCCATCCAGGTCACCCCGCAGTTGCAACGTCGCATTTCACACCCGAATGCAACGCCCTCTCCCATTGCTGCTTGCACAACAGCTGCCGACAGCTGCAGCCTCGGCGACCCATCCAGAATCCTCAGCGAATTGGGTCAAACCGACCGGATTTGGGGCCTCAAGCGATGAAACTCCACGTCCAGCGGGGAGTTGGGGTCACGGGCAGGGCTGGGCAATGCCATCCCCAAACGCCGTGCCAGTGCCGTCCCACCTGAGGTTGGCCCAAACCACCACGGGGAGCAGAAAATGGGACCAGGAGAGGATTTGGGGCCAACTGAGGGCTTGGGGGTGGGCTTCATCCCGATGGACCAGGGAAGCGCTCCCTGCACTGGGATGCGTTGTGGCAAGCTTGCTGCAGCAATTACCCCATGCAGGAAGACGGATTAATACCCATTACCTAAATAACTCCCCACATAATAATTAGTCAGGTATTCTTAGTCCTCAGTCATGAAAAAGCTCTTTTGCAGAGGCATGTTGGAAATGTGGTCCTGCGCATCAAACGCGCCGACGTGGGATTCTGCTAACTCAGAAGGAGTGAATATGAACCCTAGGCAGGGCAGGGAGCATCGCTGCCGCCCCATCCCAGTGCTGCTGTTTGCAAAGCCCGTGGCTGGGGGGGTTTTACCCCCTTTTTGGGGGGTCTTGGGAAGCAGCTCACTGCGCTGGGCACCCAACGCACCCCAAAGCCCTCGGCCGCCCTTGGAGCCGGGTCACCGTCCCACCGCTTCTCCCAATTAAAAGAATGAAAGAAAGGAAATTGGAAATGCATCCAGCCCTGCTGCACCTTGTCTGGAGCAATTAAAGGCAAAGTTTTAATGAGCGGCTGATGAAGCACAAAGGCAGAGGGAAATTCTCCGCTCATTAGAAGGAGAAAGCGGCAGTGGAGGCTGGGGCAGCGTGCTGCAGGGTCCGCTTTGGGAGAAATGCCCCAAAACGGGGACAGCTGGGCCATTCCCTTCTGAATTCCCCACATTTTGAGGTTTCTCCTGCTGGGTTTGGTGCTCAGGGCATCCCTCACCCCGGGGCTGCGCCTTATCGGGGCTGTTTTCAAGGTTTTACACTTGTGAGCCAAATTTAAAGGCTCCCATGGAGCTTGAAAGTCCCCCACAGCCAAACCGGCTCCAATATTTCCCCAGCAATCGAGGACTGATTTTCATTTCATTTCTCATTCCCGGGGGCTGTAAATGCAACGGGACCTCTGCAGAACCCTGAATATTCTTCACCCCAGGGGCTGCTGCAAATGGGGCGGCCTCAAAACTGCGTGGATGTGGAATGTTCCCCTTTATCTTAAGCATGCTTCCCCCATATCTTCCCTGCACGTGCAGAACAGGCTCTCCCTGCACTTCCAGCTGTCACTGGGGACAAAGAACCGATGGGCCTGGAGGCTTCTGTGGGGTCAGTGGCGGATGCTGAGCTATCAGCTGCGCACAGAGCGGTGCTTCCATAGGGTTGGTGGGGATGCTGAGCTGCAGGGTGGGCACGGAGCGGTGTTTCCACGGGTCAGTGAGGGTGTTGAGCTCTGGGATGGGCACGGAACTGCGGCGTGTGGATGTCAGTGCGAGGTCACCCGGAGCCGGGCACGCGGCGCTGCCGGGGCTTGCGGCGTTCCCACGCAGCCGCTTTGATCCCGAATACCTGCGGCTCCCCGCCCGCCTGCCGCTCCGCGCTGCTCCCCGGCTCTGCAGGGACCTGCCCTCACACCCCGCGCTGCGGTCCCGTGCCTGGCCGATAGCCCTGAATTGCCGGCTCAGGCCGGGGCTTGTCGCTCCTGATGCAATACGGCGGCTCTGCTCTGGCACGCTGGGTGCAGCGGCCGCGTCCCAACCGGCCCACGGAGCCCTGATCCCAGCTCCGTGTGGGGTTTGGGGCACGCAGAGTTCTTTCCCTATACAGGACCAGCAGGGTCCCTCCCTCCCTCCTGCAGCGCCTGGTCCCCATCTCCCACCTCCAGGGCTGCTCCCAAGCGGGTTCCCTGTCCTGGATTCTCACTGGGATGGGAGGCACAGGGACAGACACTTGTCACAGCGTACTGACGGCTCAATCCATCAATCTGCTCATTGTTCCTTGAGAGATGTGGGGCTGCTTTCTTGTGTCCCCGTGCCTCAGTTTCCCCACTCAGGGGACCCATCCCAGCACCGCAGCCAAGCAGAGAGCTCTGTGCTCTGTGCTCTGTGCTCTGTGCTCTGTGTCCCGTCCTCCCCTCGACCAAACGTGTGGGACCCCAGCGCTCAGCACTGCCCTTCTGAGAGCTGCATTCTGAGATTCACCCCCAAAATGCTGAGATTCGCCCACCCACGGCCCCACAAGGTGCATTTATAGCCCTGGCGGTGTCTGCCGGCTGCCTGCCTGACTTCAAAGCAGCTTTTTTTTTTTTTTTTTTTTTTTAATATTTCCAAAAGAGTTAAAAATAATAATAATAAAAAAGAACCCCGTCTATATTTTGCCTTCGGGGGCAGAAGCCCGTGGGACCTGCAGGCCGGCACTCGCAGTGTTTGTGTTGGATTTGCAGAGTCAGGGTGTCCGGGCTGTGCTATACGTCTGTGTTTGCTTTGCAGGCTCAGCTCCTGCCTACGTGCGCCGCCGGAGAGCCGGCCCCAAAACCTGGCCCCAAAACATGGCCTCAGGGCACTGCAGTGCTCACCCCAAAATGGGTCCTGGGGGGGTGAGAGGTTGGTGGCTGCGCGTAGCCCTGGTGTGCAGCCCCCAGAATGGAAATACGTGGCTCATCCGGAGCCTTGAGCGTGGGCATGGTGCTGCGGGGCTGCCTGGCAGCACTGCTGTGTTTCGATGCGCTCCTGTTGTGCCAAAGCCAGCTGCCCCCATCGGCATTTCCACCCAAAGGCCAAAAACCAAGAGAGCAGCTCCGGTTTGGTGTGGTTTCCCCAAACTGCACATGGAACAGGAGCCAATGGGGCTGGGGGCTGCAAGCAATGGGTCTGGGGGCTGCAGGGGGGCTCACCCCCACCCAACAGCTCCCAAACGGGGAATTTTGAGGGAGAAATGTCCAAAGGTGGAACTTTCCCTGCTGGCTTTGCATGGGCCGCACCGCTTCCCACGGCTGCGCTCCCAGCCCAGCTCTGGCCCCTCGGGGGGAGCCTATTTTGACGGCCCCCCGCAGTGAAAGCTTTTCTCTCTCTTCCCTTCCCCTGCCCAAGACTTCCTCCGCCTTGCCCCAGCTTCCTGGCCCGCCTGTTTATTCGCTTCCCGCTCCCAAACCCCTGATTTCTTTGTTCAGCCCCTGGTAATTTTCCATCACCGCTGCTGCATCCAGCTCACCGACACCACGCGGCACCGCACGGCGTGGTTGGCATCCCGCATTGCCCTGCTGCAAAAATCGTGGTCCTGTTTTGGCCAGGTGGGCATTTCTCTGTCTGCTGTCAGTTCCTCCTCCAGTGGTTTCCAAAGAGTGTCCAATGTTGGGTCGCAGATGGGCACTTTGCCCTCATTGCATGGGGAAATGAGTCGTAGAGTCGTGGAACCGTAGAACCGTTGAATCACAGTCATAGCACCATAGAATCGTGGAATTGTGGAGTTGTAGAATCGTGGAATCGTAGAATCACAGAATTGTAGAACTACAGAACCGTGGAATCATAGAACCATAGAACCACAGACCCATGGCACCATGGAATTGTAGAGGTCATGGATTGTTGAGTCATAGAACCATGGAATCAGGGAACCATAGAACTGTAGAATCATTAAATCATAGATCCATGGAAACAAAGAATCACAGAACCAGGAACTCACAGAACCATAGAATCA